TAGGCAGTTTAGACCTTTACTGCTAAAATCCTGTAGATCAAATTTTGAACTAAACGAGCCATTCCGCCGTATATGTCATGATTTTAATTCTCATTCCAGCACATTTGACTTATCTGACTCACTTTTCAAAATTAAAAAGACTTTATTGTTTTCTCTTAATTAATGAAAATGTAACAATTTATTATATTGTAACTTTAGATCTTAGCTGTTGAAATTTTTGTTTCTGTAGCTGAGCAGTTTTAGATCTCAACACTTAAAAAACTCTCTTGCCTTTTCTGACTCGGCTAATTCCGCACGTATGCGGATTGCGCCCCTCGCGTCGGTTGGGCGGGAGGAGGGTAATCGTTGGGTTTATTATTATTATATAACGTTCCATGTCTACAGGCATGTCTGCCTATCAGACAGTGGCCTGTTAGACGGCCCCAAGAACACTTCGACCGATGGCTGCGATTCTTTCCCTATAGAAAGCCTGACAATCGCATAGAAGATATTTACTGGTTTTTTCCTCTTCTGCCTCCTGACAGCTTCTACTATAGTTATTATATGGCGTTCCAAGTCATGTCTGCCTATTAGACAGTGGTCTGTTAGTACTCCTACTCGAGTCTTTATAACACTCCGTTTGAATTTGAGCAAACACTGCAGTGGTCTGGAAGCCGAAAGGCGGTTTCGGTATCTAGTTTAGCTGAGAAGAAACCGCCGCCCACTCGGTTATCTTACTTGGAACCATCCGAATAGATCCTTATCCCTTACCGAATTGTTCACCTCGCCCCTTTCCCACTCTGCTCTGGAAGTGAAGGTAATATTAGGGACCGGATTTAGATTTCAACTCTGTAGGAGCCCTGGTTATGAGAAGAAATGGGAACTTCCTAAGTATAATAGAATGACCCTTGTTACTGGCGACTAGTAGGGAGGATTTCCTCAGTCTAAGAGCTGAATTCGCTGGCATTTTTTTGCAAAATTACGTTTACTGCCTGTCTTGGTGTAGTTCTGAGAGCTCCACTGATGCAAACACTGGCTGCTCTTTGTATGCTTTCCATACGTCTTACCGCGCATTTCTTTTTCGTTAATGGCCACCATACCAATATACCGTAAGTCATAATCGGCCTTACAATTGCTGTGTAGAGCCACTGTGCTACCCCAGGCGTTAATCCTCTACTCCCCCCCCCCCCCCATTATTTTACATGTGTAAAGGGTAGTAAGTGTTTACATAAGTAAAGTGAGAATAACAGGAATACGCTTTTTTAGCTCTTGCAGATGCAACAGTCAGTTCGTTTTCCTATGATTCCTGAAATTTTCTACATCCTCTTCACTTATGCATTCAATGTAGCGGTGGTCCAAAAAGGAGTGTTTTTCAAGAACTCTAAATTGGGTTAATCTATTTATAAGTTCTTCTGACACAAGTGTGATGTCGAATACTTCTTGTCGGTTTCTTGTGATAAACCAGAGAACTTAAAACAATGAGAAGGTGCAGGTTCGACAGCGAACAATTTGTAGGAATTTATCAAGGAGTTCACCACAGATGCACGAGAAACAAATAACATTTTTCGCTTTTATAACAGCGGTGAATCTGTACACATACGCTCTCTTAACATAACCAACCGACGAATATTGAAGAGAATATAATATGTGAGCAAAACTGGGCATATTGATATGCCATTTGAAATATATTCCCTTTTATTGAACTATTATTTATTATTTTTCAAATTATTTTATGTTAATTCATTTTTACTTTATTATGAGAAATATATCAAAATACTTTTAAATTATTACTATTAAAGTATTTTGATATATTTCTTAAAATAATTCATTAATTGTACTTGACACCATTATGGAGTCATAAAAGTACAGAATTGTGTTTTGCCGTCGGTATTTCACATTCATGCTTCAATTTTTCTTTTCAAATGCATGTGTAAACATATGTAGCAGGACATACATATATAATATTATGTCGTTTACACATTTGTATGTCTTTTTATGTAGATATGTACACTCATTACTTCATGTGAAATCTCCGTTGACACATTTTTTGCTTTTATGTCAAAGAGTCAATCTGTCGAAGAACTGACGCGACGACAAAGCGTCACAACATTGTTTTGTTGGTAGAAAATCCGAGATGTGCCATACACACTCTTACAAACATACATCGCATATTGGCAAGTGTAAAGTCAATGTAGAGACAAAAAATTCGAACGTACTTACTGTGTGACAAATACAGTCAATCCCGGTTAAGTGCCAAAACCAAATTTGCAGATTTTTTGCGCTTTGTAGTACATAAGCGATTGTGGTACTTAAGCGAGAGGTACCAAAAAAAATTATTTCTATGTATTTAAAAAAAATTACCGTTTTCTTTAAAAAATTAAGAAAAAAAAAGTGAGATGCAGCAAGACACCGGCAGATAAGAGGGGTTGGAGGAGTGATACTTAACCGGGGTTTACTGTATACATAAATCACAGCAATATTGAATATTTTCTTTAAAAAGTTTCTTGAATTGTAAATCGACAAATTTACTATGTTGTCACTTTTATTCTAAAATATTTTAATACTCATATTTGAGGGGTTGTCACTTTTCCCTTCTAGAGGGAATATCAGAAATTTGTTCAATTTATGATTTTTAGCTTTTGCCATCGTCGCGAAAAGACGCTTGTAGGCAAACGCATGCTCGGGGAGATGTGTAAGGCGTTTGCTTTTATGAATGAAACGACTTAGCTTATTGCTTGTGCGCCAGCGTCCATGAATGAAAATGTTGTTGATGTGTGATTTACTACAAATTTAGGATTTGTCAATTTGGCTGCCATATTGATTTCTGGTGCTGATGCTATTTGAGACAATTGTTATTTTTGTACAACAATGTTTGTATTTTTCTTATTGGCTGACGTACTTACATTTGTACGCTTAAATGTATGTAGATTTGTGTATGCATTACTTATTTTGCGCGGTCATATGCATATTTGTACATACATACTTACATATAGAGCAGTGCGCTCACATGTATTTATTGATAATTGATAATATATTATTATATTATATAATATAACATATTGATGTACATACATAAATTATTAATTCTGTAAAAATTGAAATTAAAAAATTATGAAAATAGTAAAATATTATTTATTGCATAATCTTTCAATTTTATCAATGTAGCATTTGTGCAAAAAAATAATAATTTATCAATTTTTCATCATAAAAATCGTTTATATGGCAAAAAATAATCATGCATATGTGAAGTGGCATTTGTATTTCTTGTTTTCTCATTCATTTCATTTCATTTTTCTCTTTATATTGGTAGATACGTATTTTGTCAGAGAACGTTGTTAAAAATTCTCATTTCTGTTAAATAACAGCAAAACTATATAGAAAGTGGTGAACTCCTTGATCTCAAATTTTCAGCCAACCAATCGAGCATCATACAAAATTCAATTTGCACCTTCTCATTGTTTTAAGTTCTCTGGTATAACTAAATATCTATCTCGATTCGTTTTAGAAGTTACAAGTAACTGTCAGGGGAACAAAACTATTATTTTTTTTAAACTTCATTTTTTTCACATAATAACAAATAATGTATATTCAGCCGACTAAGGCAGGATATTTTTCACAAAACGCAATGGTTCAATTTAAAAAAAAATGGTCTAGGATGGAAAAAGCATACGAGTTACATCAATCCACCGAGTTTTCAAATGATGAATAGTTGGGAGAGCCCCAAATAATGGCTTAACTGCTGCCGCTTGCACTCATGCGTTCTAGTTACCTCCCTTTTCACAATTATTTAGCTATGAGTGCATCAATTTCCCCATTGTGATAACCGAACATTTAAATACAGCGAGTGTTAAAAAGTCATTTATCATTATTTAAAAATTTTAAGTTTTACTGAATTTTTAATTTATTTCCAATGTAAATAAATTCAATCAATACTTACAGAAATTATTATTTGTTCAAATATAAAGCATATATATATTACATGTATAGTTTTTTGTTTTAGGAAAAATTTGACGGCTACAGTAAATGCTACCGCTACGATTTTAATTGGACTGGTGTTCTTGATTTAAATTACTATGATATAAATACACCAAATGAAACCTGGTCCTACACAAAGTGTGATTTTGGATGGGAATACAATAAATCGGTAGTATCGTCATCTATCGTCATTGATGTAAGTAAAAGTTTTAGGAAACGTAGAAAACTAATTTAAAAATATGTCAGTAACTAATTTAATATCCAAATATATTATTCATGAATTCCGATTAAATAAAGAGAATTAGTGTTTTTGTTGCAACGTTATAATTCAATATTGATACATTACGGGTTTATATATGCATATGTAATATATATGGATGTGTGTGTTAACAATATTCGGTTAATTTTTTTATATATATATTCTTATAATTTAGATTTAGTTAATTTATAATTCTTTATATGATAACCTATGGTATGTTGGGTTATCTTCTTGTATTGGGGATAGATGTTCTGTGTATCCGTGTATAGTTTACGTGTTCTCTTATACAAGTATTGTGCCGTGAAATGATGTTCATTACATCTGTGGAAGCTGTAACACAAAACGCCATTAATCAAAAACAAATAAGTTGCTATAACTAAGCTCCATAATAAGATACAAGACTGTTATTTAATATACAGGATCATATTCATTTGTGGCACCCGCAGTAAAAATTTTTTTTACAAAGTGGGAGTGGTTCCGCCCCCTAATCGAAATAATGTCCATATCTCCTAAAATAAAAAAGGTATAATAACAAAATTCACTGAGACCAAATGCTTTTAGCACCTCTATCAACATTGTGAAAATGGGTGAAATTGGGTGACAAACCCGCCCACTCCCCATATCACGGTATTGTTTAAAACTATTAAAAGCGCGATAAATCAAGTAATAAACACGCCAGAGATATTAAATTTTATCACTGGGATGGTATGAGATGACTTTATAGGAACTGACTTCAAAATTAGACAGTCCGCGTGGCACCGCTCACTTTTAGGTGAAAACCCATATCATGGGCCCTGCTTAACCGATTTCAACCAAATTCCGTACATAACTTTCCTCTCATATTTCTATGTTTTAGTGCGAAAATGGATGAAATCGGATTACAACCACGCCTATTCCCCATGTAATAACATTTTAAATTACATCTGATTCTTTCACTTTCCACTATGAAAATCAAGCAACAATGATTGTATCGGGGTAAAACGTGAATAATGCGCTTAAGGTATGCCACCTTGTGACAAAAAATTGTCTAAATCGAACCAAAACTGTTCGATCCCCTAGGTACTGAATATATGGACCCAAGTGCCTATAGTTGTCTTTTTACCGAAAATATCGGTCAATGTGTAAGATATATAATTCAAATTCATATAATAAAATAAATAAATGAAACTCTCGATATTAGTATGTTTCTGTGTCAAAAATTGGTTGAATCAGATCAAGACTTCCTTTAATAGAAAATTTTCCCAACACCTAAAGTAATTTCCCGGGCTTTGATCCTTGCTAGCTGCGAGAGTATAAAATATTCGGTTACACTCGAACTTAGAACTTCCTTACTTGTTTATATTTATTTCACTTTTAATTTTTGGCGGGTTGGACTTTCACTTTTTATGTGTTCGCTTTAAAAACGCGGGAAAAAGTGTGTCCTTTTCGTGTGTCGTTTTTTTTCTTCGTCTTGTGGTAAGTGAAGTTGGTGCAGTAGTTTTTTCCTCTGCATTATACCTCTATTACTTTCCGGAGTATGTACTAGTAATGCAGGGAAATATTTGTTTGTATTAAACATTGCTCATTTATATATTATGGCTTTATAATTATCCCGATTATTTTAAGGTCTTACAAACAATCGTTACCCAACAAGCAATTAAACGAATTTAAAAATTGGCCAATGGAGAATCCCTACAACTCCCATTGTGGATTGTAACAAAACCAGGTCCGTCATTTAAAGGACCTTACTTCCGTCATCAATAATTCAAGATAAATTGAAACGACATCAAAAATATAGGGTATATATGAGTATACTGAATTAGCGTTCGGTTTTAAAAATGTTGCCTTTGCTCAATTTGTCTACATGGTTTTGAATTCGTATAGCTTTTCAGTTACAATTTTTAGCAATGTAAAAGATCAAAAAAATCCAACTATTAACAAGAAGTAAAGGCTAAGTTCGGATGTAACTGAACATTTTATACTCTCGCGAGGTCAAATGGCATACTTAGTTTTTTTCTTTATTTTAGGTAGCGTCAGCGAAAATTTTATTTAAAAAAAATACATCTTGAAGAGAGATATAGATATGTATGAATGTGATATTAACTCGACCACAGTGTCTAAATTTTATATTATACTAGCGACCGGCTTTGGCTTTGCACGTGTGCAATGCTGATACTAAATACACTACAGAAAAACTGTGAATATAAAATATAAAGCCTATGGCATTCACTGAAAAAATGATTACGCGTTAAATTTGGAGTAAAACAATTTCACTTTCCCTATACAATGAAGATTTCCTGCTATCTTTGGAATATCTAAATTCATAAACTACATTTTTACTATTTACTTTTTACACTTTTACCTATTTATTTTATTGTTACAACAATTAACATATTATAGAATGTCGTTATATACAACGTTCACGCCTTTCTTGTCATTAGACAATACAAAGATGTTTTCTCTAGAGCTTAATCTTAAAAGAGCGACATACATTTGGCCATTTCAGCAGATATCTTTACCGGAAACTGTAAACGTTTAAATTGGAAGTGTAAATACGATGGTATATGAGGATTCGGGAAATCAATACATCTTTTCGGTATCACATCCTGTGAGTACTGTGCACAGTTTTAATAAAATAATAGGACAACCTATTTTCTACTAGCATCTTGTGAAGACGGAGTCCAGACGCGTTCAAACACTTTAGACATTCTGAGGAAAATGAACAGACTGACCGAGTAGGACGTTTTCGTCGACGCTTAAATCTTTGAAAGAATCATATTATTGACCTTATCTACTTCTTCGTTAGTGGTAACAGAATCGCTCTACACATTTGTATGTCAATTCCTCTCACACTTGGTGTTAACTCGTCATTGCCAACTTTGAGCAGCATCCCTGAAAATATCCTGTTCTCAGTGAAAATGACGAAACCCTCAATTAGTTTTAAGCTCTAATTTATTGACATATAGCCAAAGGTTAGATCTTTAGGAATGTTTATTTCGTCAGCACGTGTTCTCTTGAGTCACTACTGGTAGGGTTTGACGGAAATCTCCGGAGAACAGAATTGTACATCGACCCATAAGTGAATTTTTTCTGCGCAAATCGCGCATTGTCCTATCCAGTGATCCACAGACGTCTTGTTTGACATGGTAGCTTCTTTCCAGATGTGCTCTGTTTAGAAACACAACAGACCGCTGTTATTATCATTGTTGCCATCAGCGGGAGCTTGAATGTATAGTGTGCGGTTCGGCTTCCTTCTAAAACGTAGCGGCAATGCCGGAAGACGCAATAGCTACGAAATTTTTCCGGTCCTATCCATCTTTTACAAGCAGTTAGATTAAAAATGTTTTCCTGTACCTACTGGGGCATCAAGGAAAAGCAATTTCCCTTCAGTGCATTGAATACTTTTTCTGATCGATGTTTAATCGTGGCTCATCTTGAGCTATATTTTGTAAAAGTACGTTTGATCGTATGAAGTTTCTCTTGTGTATTCGGCACTGTTAGTTAAATCTGAGTTAGTAGTATTACTGACATCGCCCGTAAGTAATGGCGTCTTGCGATTTTCGTGTAACTATCGAAGTCCACCTGGAATGATGAAGGTAGTATAACCAGAGAACTTAAACAACGAGGAAGGTGCAGGTTCGATAGCGAACAATTTGTAGGATTTTATCAAGGAGTTCACCTCACATGCACGAGAAACAAATAACATTTCTCGCTTTTATAACAGCGGTGAATCTGAAACATACACTCTCTTAACATAACCAAACGGCGAATATTGAAGAGAATATATGTAAGTATGCCAAACTGGAATATTAATATGCCATTTGAAATATATTCCCTTTATTGAACTATTATTTATTATTATTTTTAAATATTTTTATGTTAATTCATTTTACTTTCTTGTGAGTAATTATTAATAATAATTTAAACATATTTGATATATTTTTAAAATAATTCAAGGCTTGACACTCATTATGGAGTCATAAAATACAGAATTTTTGTGTTTGCCCGGCATTTCATATCATGTGTAAAAATATTGTAAATTTGTCTACAAACAACATATGAAGTATGTAGATATGAACACTCATTACTTATATGAAATCTCCGTTGACCGGTCACCAATGATCGAAGCTCACGTTCTTTGCTTTTATGTCAAAGAGTCAATCTGTCGAAGGACTGACGCCGTCGCAAGCGTCACAACATTGTGTTGTTGGTAGAAAATCCGAGATGTGCCGAAAATAACCGAACGCTCGCCGATTGCATCGCTTCCCTGCCGCTCTAACAGCTTTGCCCACAATCATTGTAGGTATGTATGTTTTTATATGAACAGCCTACATATTGACGAAGATTTTGCGAGCCACGGAAAAATATTTTAGAATTGTGAAATATTTTAAATCGACAAAAGCTTTGTTGCCACTTTTGTCATTGATTTCTGTGTTTGCAGGGTTGTCACTCTTCCATCTAGAGGGAACATCAGAAGATGTTTCAATTTACGATTTCTAGCATTTGCGTTCGCCGCGAAAAGACGCTTGTGGCAAACGCATGCTCGGGAGATGTTAAGTCGTTTGCTTTATTAAATGAAACGACTTAAGTAGCTATTGATTGTGCGCCAGCGTTCATGAATGAAAACGTTGTTGTTGTGGATTTACTACAAATTTAGATTGTCAATTTGGCTACCATATGTGATTTCGGTGCTAATGCTATTTGAGACAATTGTTGTTTTTGTACAACAATGTTTGTATTTGCCTATTGGCTGACGTACTTACATTTGTACGCTTAAATGTATGTAGATTTGTGTATGCATTACTTATTTTGCGCGTCATACGCATATTTGTACATACATACTTCATATAGAGCAGTGCGCTCACATGTTTATTGATAATGATAATATATTATTACAAGATATTATATAATATAACATATTGATGTACATATGTACAATACATAAATTATAATTCTGT